CCCATTATGAGGGGCTCCCACCATCCCTGTGCTGAGTTCCTGGGTCTGTACACCTGCTGTGCCCATTATGAGGGGCTCCCATTATGAGGGGCTCCCACCATCCCTGTGCCGAGTTCCCGAGTCTGTGCTCCTGCTGTGCCCATTATGAGGGGCTCCCACCATCCCTGTGCTGAGTTCCCGGGTCTGTACACCCGCTGCGCCCATTATGAGGTGCTCCCACCATCCCTGTGCTGAGCTCCCGGGTCTGTAGCCTGCTGTGCCCATTATGAGGGGCTCCCACCATCCCTGTGCAGAGCTCCCGGGTCTGTAGCCTGCTGTGCCCATTATGAGGGGCTCCCTCCATCCCTGTGCTGAGTTCCCAGGTCTGTACACCTGCTGTGCCCATTATGAGGGGCCCCCACCATCCCTGTGCCAAGTTACCAGGTCTGTACAGCTGCTGTGCCCATTATGAGTTCCCATCATCCCTGTGCCGAGTTCCCGGGGTGTCTACAAAAGTGTAACTGTAGACCTGACTCAGCAGGTGATTTGTTGGACCTTTGCAGAGAGACCACTGCTTCCATGCATAGAGCAAAGTTCCCACTACAGTATGCTGGCAGAGGAGAGGCTTTCATACTTGGGCTGTGGCTGCTTTAGAAAGAAAATAAAAAAGGAACTGACTTTGCCCACCTCGCCCACCTTTTGTTTTCATGCACCTGCAGTTGTATTTAAACAATGTGAACAAATTATTTGGGAGAAAGGGGGGGGGGGGGTCCCAGAAATTCTATTTGCTTGGCTGTTGTACATATCCATTGGTCTCGATACTTTGTAAATCACTGTGTGAGACAAGGATGGGGACCAGGAGAATGACCACGTTTGTTCTGCTCAGGGACTTCTCCAATTGAGCAAAGCCCATCGGCACCGACCCGATCTTTGATTGACTGACCACACCATAACGGCCCGAGTCATAAATCAAATTTAGATTTTACCCCTTTTTAAATAAATGAAGATATTTGAAATATCATGATGGGGGGGTATTTTGAGGGAGATGTCGAATACAGCAGATTTCCTAATCACTAATCCCTCGGAGGATTACCAGCCAACTGTCTGTTAAGCCTCCTGCAGCCAAAAATGGTCAGCGATTGAACGGGATGCAAATTTAAAATGAAACTAAACCTAAATATTGTGAGCCGGCAGACATGTTACGTCTCTTCTGCAACAAACTTACCTGTCTGTAATTCACTGTGCTGGAGTTACATCATTTCCCCCCAGCCAATCAAAATGGATGAAGATACGGCCCAAGCCGAGCAGAAAACAGTGGCACTGCAAGGGTTTGCCTCAGGTTAAAGAAAAAAAAAATTCTACCCACCCAAGTCAGCAGCGATCCCTTTATCCTGTCGCTTGCAGCAATGGTCAGAAGAGGGGGGAGACATGCTCTAGGGACCGGTGTAAGCACAAGCCACCTCTGAGGATCAGGAGAGTATAACTTTTTTTACCCTAGGCAGAAACAAGCAGTTAACCCTTGCAGTGCTGGGTTAGCCCCACTGCAAGAGTTGATACCATTTCAGGGCACTTTGCAAGATCAAGGAAAATCTTAAAATCCAATCTGTCGAGGTAATGACAGTCTGCAGTGGATAAAACTTAGGGCAATGACACAAGGTCATGCCATCTATGTTGTATAGAAGGAAGGGGGGGGGGGTAACCTGAGCAAAGTAGCCCACCATAGTTAGTATGGATGCCACTTTCTCCTGGCCTTCGTATTCTTAGGGATACTCACATCTTTTGGGCTTCTCAGCTCCAACTGCAGTGTTCTATTTTTGTTTATTCTGTTTTTATTTTCCGAGTAGCATTTGCTGATGGGAGAACTGTGCACACTGAGTCCAGCACCCCTCAGTATATTGCTGAGATCGGCCTCCATCTACAGTTCCAAGCAACAACCCTAAATGAGTCCTGCTCCTTTGTGACATCTCATGTTTATGTATATCCACCTGCATAGTTTTATATCCTCTGCTGCTGAGAATGCATGCAGGTTTATAACCGAGTGCAGTTATAGAGATACTAAACAAAAACATGTCTTATTTGTGTATCACTCGGCTGTAGAGCCTCAAATCATCTCTGAATTGGTGCCGCCACTGTCCTTTTTTCTGGAGGAGGGCTACTATAGTTCCCCATGGGTGTTATAAAGTAGTCACCGCTCCAAGCTCACTCCTGTGATGGACTACAAGCTCAATATAAATGACTAAACATGAGGTTGTAGTAGTCCCCATGGTCCCTGTGTGTTTACAACACACAGGGACCATGGGGAACACAAGTAGCCCCCCTCCAGAAGGCAAGACAGTGTCAGCACCAATTCAGAGATGAGGATCTACAGCCAAGTGATACACAAATAAGATACCGTATTTGCCGGCGTATAAGACGACCCCCCACTTTGTGTAAAAATAGTTTGTATTCAATACAAAGCCTGTATTTACTGAATACAAAGCCTGCCGTGATTGGCTCAGCGCGGTATACTGTATGTAGCCGAAGCTACATTACTGAAGTATACCCGGCGTATAAGACGACCCCCGATTTTTTTGGGTCTCAAACCCCGTCTTATACGCCGGCAAATACGGTACATTGAGGCGAATTTATCAAAACTGGGACAGAATTTGAAGTTGGAGAACTATGAGGTGAGTGCTTTTCACTCCTCATAGTTCTAGCCGACCTGTGACAATGAGACTGTCACAGGTCGGCTCAGTAGATTGGGAGGTGAGCGAACACATACCGGCGTTTGCTCACCTCTCGATCCTGTCACGGCTCTCTGCCGTGACATGGGAGGGGCTGGATTCCCCCCTCCCCGATCCGCCAGCGCTGAGTGGCGGAACAGATGGGGAGGGGACGTGTACAGCTGGCTCTGCCTCGATAGGCAGAGCCAGCTGTCAGTCACACAGCTGGGCAGATGACATAATTGTCAGGATCCGCTTCAGTGTCTCAGTATACCGCGAGCTACAGCTCGCGGTATACTGGGCTTAGGCTCTGTTCACACCTAGGCGCATCAAATATGCACGTTGTGATGCACGTTATCGCGATTCGCTGGAAAAAAAAAACAAAAAAAAAAAAAACACATGACAAATGCACGTTTCCGAGGGCTACTTGGCTGTATCCCAAAAAATGCAGCAAAGCTCATGTACCTTTTCAGGCGTAGGCCGTTTTGTAGCGCATTCAGACGGGCTGTAATGCGCAAGGTGTGAACCAGACCCATAGGAAACAATGGGATTTTCATGTTTGCGCGTTTTGTAGAGCGTTGAACGCGCTACAAAAACGTACAGGTGTGAACCAGGCCTTAGGGTGACGGGAGGACACTAGTTTGTGTCCTCCCGTTACCCTTAAGGAGAACTATGGAGAAAAGCCTTAACCCCATAGTTCTTCTTTAACCAAAAAAAAGGAATCTGGAGCAACCAATCAGCTTCTCTCATTTTTAACTCAACTGTACCCGATTGGTTGCTGTGCACAGCTGCGACACCGCACTTCAAAGGTTTATGGCCCCTCCATTCCCATCACCACATTTATAACATCACAATAATGAAGTACAGGAGTCAGGATGTGCAGACCGAATATGTTTTTAATAGTTACAATACTTGCGCCTGCCTTGTAGCAGGATTTCATAAAAAGAGCATTTTACATTGGCATAGAGAAACCCCCCCCCCCCCCCCCCCCCCGGCGCCCATAGGCCGG